TATATAAATATTATTTTTTTTATAAATAATTCAACCTAATAGTTATTTTAATCCAACCGCACCTTCCAGTACGGTTACCTTGTTACGACTTCATCAAAATTGTATTATTATATATTATTATTTAACAATAATTTTTATATAATATAATACTTTTTAGATGTGACGGGCGGTGTGTACAAAGCTTAATAACTTATTCACCGCTATAATTCTAATTAGCGATTACTAGTGATTCCATCTTCATATAAATGAGTTTCAATTTATAATCTGAACTATAAATATATTTTAAATATTATATATAAATATAATAAATATATTGTAATATTCTATGTAACACGTGAGCAGCCCAAAATATAAGGAGCATAATGACTTGACGTAATCTTTATTATATATAAATTATATATTATAAAATATTTACATTTTATAAAAGGTTACGTTCGTTATAATACTAAAATTAACACTTCACAGCACGAACTGACGACAGCCATGCACTACCTATATATTTTATTAAAATATTAATTTCTTAATAATAAAATATTGTTAAATTTTGGTAAGGTTTATCGTGTTGCATCGAATTAAGCCACATGTTCCACCACTTGTATAAGCTCCCGTCAATTCCTTTGAATTTCATTCTTGCGAATATACTACTCAGGCGGAATATTTATCACGTTAGTTATTATATTTATAAAATTTTATAAATATAAAATATTCATAGTTTACAGCTAAGACTACTAGGGTATCTAATCCTATTTGCTACCTTAGCTTTCGTTTATAAGTGTCAGTAATTATATAGTATTATGCTTTCGCCTTTGATATTCTTTTTTGTATCATTGTATTTCACTACTCCTCAAAAATTTCTAAATACTTTTATAATACTCTATTATATTATTATTTATTTATTATTTAAATTTTAATTAAATATTTTAAAATAAAATTAATATAAAACCTAAAAACGCTTTACGCCTATTTAAAGTGAATAACGCTTGCATTTTCTGTATTACCGCTGCTGCTGGCACAGAAATTAGCCAATACTATTTTTTATTTTTATCAATATTTAAAAATAAAATATAAAGTTTACAATATTAAATTAATACTGTCTTCCTTTAAGAAATATTACTTTATCAAGCTTACGCTTATTGTAAAATATTCCCCACTGCTGATTTTTTTTAAAAATTTAGGCTTTATTTCAATCCTAATGTGATTGTACATTCGTTTAAAATCAATTTTTGATCATAACCTTGGTAATCTTTTAAATTACCAACTAGTTAATCAAATATAAATTTTATTTTAAATAATAATAATTTTTAATATAGTACAATTAATTAATTTTTTATAAAAATTGCGCATATAGATTATTATTTTTATATTATAATCTATTTAAAATTAAAAATTTATATATACTCACCTATATACTATGATATTATCATTAATTTGCATGTGTAATGTATATTTCTAGCGTTCATTCTGAGCTAGGATCAAACTCGCAATATAATAAAATATTTTATTTAAATAATTTATTAAACATTTATAGATATATATATGGAAATAAGTAGAATTGAACTACTATTATTATTTTGCAAAAATAAGATTTTACCATTAAACTATATTCCCTATTAATATATTATATTATATAATATAATAATATTCTTAATAGCTTAGTGGTTAAAGCATTCGGCTGTTAACCGAAAGATACTAGTTCAATTCTAGTTTAGGAAGTATATATAATAGTAAATAATATATGAATAAAGAGATTTGAACTCTTAATATTTTATATCTAAATTCTAAATTTAGTGCGTTTACCTATTTCGCCATATTCATTATATTTATTATAAATCTAGTAAGATTTGAACTTACATATAAAACTTAGAAGGTTTTTATTTTATCCATTAAATTATAGATTTATAAGTAATATTGGATTTGAACCAATGATCTTCTGTATGTAAAGCAGAAACTTTACCTCTAAGTTAATTACTTATTTATTATTATTAATAATAATAAACTTGTAATTTAATGGATAAAATATATAAATACGAATTATAAAATAAAAGTTCAATTCTTTTCAAGTTTATTTTATTTATTAGCGAAATAGAGCATAAGGAAAGTTCGTCGGATTCATGCTCCGAAGGTAATCGGTTCAATTCCGTTTTTCGCTTATATTATTTTAATAAATTAATTTAAAATTTTTAATATTAAATAAATAATTAAATATATATAATAAATTTAAAAGGATGTCTATTACTTTTATTATTGAAGAAAGACGTTAGATATATTAACGAAATTTTTATAATAATTAATAAATATATATATCTTAATTTATTATATTTTTATTATAAAAGTATCTGAATAAAATATTTTTTTTATATAAATATTTATTTAAATTTACTTAAGGAATTGAATCATCTTAGTACTTAAAGGAATATAAAGTAATAACGATTTTCATAGTAGTGGTGAACGAACTGAAATATTTAAAACATTCTATATGTAAAATTTTAATAAAGTAACATAAAAATATATTTTGTGTAAATATTATTTATTATATATAATAAGGATCACCTTATAAAATTTAATATAATAAAAGTTTATAGAGAATAGTACCGTGAGGGAAAGATGAAAAGGATTTTGAAAAAATAGTGAAATAGAACCTGAATTTTAAATTTAATAAATTATAATAAAATTAATTATAATTTTATTATATTCTTGTTGAAGAAAGAATTAGCAAGTTATAATAAATAGTATATTAATTAGGTTAAATATTTTATGAAGCCAAAGTGTAATCGAGTTTATTAATTTTAATAGGCAATATTATATATTATTTATTATAGACCCGAAATCAAATGATCTAATTATATTTAAAATAAAATTTAAATAATATTAAATTGTAGTTTGAATTGATTACTGTTGCAAAAGTATCAAATAAAATATAATTAGCGGTGAAATGCCAATCGAATTTGAAGATAGCTGGTTCTCTTTGAAATATATGTAAGTATAGTATTTATATATAAATGAATGTAAAACTCTTTAATTATTAAATTAATTATAATAATTAATATTAATAATAATAATTTAAGAATTTCATTTAGTAAAATATATATTATATTAGAAAATAAGGGATAAGCTTTATTTTCAAAAGGGAAACAGCCCTAATTATAAATTAAGATTTTTAAATATTAATTAAGTTTTAAAAAGAATATGAAATTATTTAAATAATTAAAAAGTAAATTTAGAAGCGGTTATCTTTTAAAGAGTGCGTAAAAGCTCATTAATTTAGTAATTTCAATTCGAAAATAATCGAAAATAAATTAATTATCGATATTATAAAATTTAATAATAATATATTAAATTGGTAAAAGAGCGTTTTGATAAATATTATTTATATGAAAATTAAAATAATAAAATCAAAAGTGATAATGCTAATTTGAGTAATGTAAATATTGGTAAAAATCCAATACTTCTATAATTTAAGGTTTCCTATTTAAAATTATTTTTAATAGGGTTAGTCGAATCTTAAAATGAGATGAAATGTGTAATTGATAGGTAATAAGTTAATATTCTTATACTATATAATATTTATATATTAAGACTAATATAATAAAATAATTATTATATTATATAAAAATTAAATATATATATATTATTATATATTCGTACCGTAAACTGACACTAGTAAATAAATATATATTATTAAGAAGTTGAGATAATTTTTTTTAAGGAACTCGGCAAATTTATCTTGTAACTTAGGGATAAAAGATACTTTTTTAGTTGAAAATAATAGATTTAAGCGACTGTTTAACAAAAACACAAATCTTTGCTAAATTGAAAGATGATGTATAAAGATTGACATCTGCCCAGTGCTATTATGTTAAAATATATATGTAATAAAATTATAATATATATATAAGCTATAGTAAACGGCGGCTGTATCTATAACGGTCCAAAGGTAGCGAAATTCCTTGTCGGGTAAGTTCCGACCTGCATGAGTGATGTAACGACTTAAATGCTGTCTTAAAAAAAATCTTAATGAAATAAAAATATCTGTGAAGATGCAGATTTCTTATATTAGGACAGAAAGACCCTATGAAGCTTTACTATTAATAAGTATTGAAAATATATATATAAAACATAGTATAAATGGGAAATTAAAATATTATTTTTTCGGAAATAATGTAATTATAAATGAAATACCATTTTTTATATATATAAATTCTTATAATAATTTTATAACAAATGTTTAGACAATATTTATGAGATAGTTTGACTGGGGCGGTCTCCTCCTATATAAAAACGGAGGTGTACAATGTTATATTTATTATATAAAGATATATATATAATTAACTGTTAGATTTACAAATCAAACAGAGATTAATGTCGGTCTTAATGATCCGATAATTTTTAGTGATAAAATTATCGCTTAACGGATAAAAGTTACTCTAGGGATAACAGGCTAATCTTTTCCGAGAGTCCATATTGACGAAAAGGTTTGGCACCTCGATGTCGGCTTATCGCATCCTAAAGCAGTAGTATGTTTTAAGGGTAAGTCTGTTCGCCTATTAAAGCGATACGTGAGCTGGGTTCAGAACGTCGTGAGACAGTTCGGTCCATATCTAATATAAGTGTTAGAATATTGAAATTATTTTTTTTAGTACGAGAGGATCGAAAAAATTATACCTATGATATATCAATTATTATTTATTGTAATGTTGAGTAGTTAAGTATAAAATTTTAATTGTTGAAATAATATAAATAAAAAAATTTAATTAAAAATAATATTCTAATCATATATATGAATAAAACAATAATTAGAAAAATTATTTTATAGGATTAATATGTATTTATAGTAATATATTTAGTATATAATCCCTAATAAGTTGAATATTTAATTATGGTTTATTTATTTGCTAAAGTAGCTTAATTGGTAAAGCAACTGATTTGTAATCAGTAGATTATGAGTTCAAATCTCACCATTAGCTTGTATTATTTATTGTATATAATTATTATGATAAAATATGACATTTAAACAATTATTAAATATTTATAATTTAAATTATAAATATCAATATAAAAATAAAATAAATTTATATTTAATAAGAAATGGATTAAATAAAAATTTAATAAAAAATTTATCTAATAATATATATTTATATTTATTTATATATAAATTTAAAATTTATTCTTTAAAAATATTAAATATATTTAGATTTCCAGATTGGAGTTTTTTTGATTGTCCTAATATAAATTATGATAATATAATTTATTATTCTTCTATATTAAAAGATAATAATTTAATATTTTATTTAAAAAAAAATTTAAATATTAATTTTTTAGATTCTATAGTTATAAAAAATAATTCTATAGATATTATTTTTGATAGTATATCTATATTACATACAACACAATATTTTTTAAAAAAATTTGGTATAATATTTTCTCCTTTATTTGATATTATATATAAATATCCATTATTAATAAAAAAATATTTAGGAACTGTAGTATCTTATAAAGATAATTTTTTTGCAAATATAAATTCAATTATTTTCAGTGAAGGTTCTTTTTGTTATATTCCAAAATATATAAAATGTAATTTTAATTTATCTACTTATTTTAAAACTAATTCATATGATTTTGCTCAATTTGAACGTACTTTATTAATAATTAATGAATATTCATATGTAATATATTTAGAAGGATGTATAGCTCCTATATATAAAGAATCTCAATTACATGTAGCAATAGTAGAAATAATTGTAAAAAATTATAGTTATGTTAAATATTATACTTTACAAAATTGGTATAGAGGTGATTATTTAGGAAATGGTGGATTATATAATTTTACAACTAAACGTGGTATATGTTTTTATTTTTCTAAATTAGATTGGATACAAATAGAAATAGGATCTATAATAACATGGAAGTATCCATCTACAATATTGAAAGGTGATTTTTCAATTAGTAATTTTTATTCAATATCTTTTATATCTTGTATGCAAATAGCTGATACAGGTAGTAAAATGTATCATATAGGATCATATACTAAAAGTTATATAATTTCTAAAAGTATTTCTTTAAATAATTCTTTAAATATATTTAGAGGATTAGTATATATTAAACCAAATTCTTATAAATCATATAATTATACTGAATGTAATTCTTTAATATTTGGAAATAATTCTTTAACAATTACTATTCCTTATATTAAAAATTATAATTATACTAGTTATATAAAACAAGAAGCTTATATTTCAAAAATTGAAATTATATATTTATTTTTATTAATGCAACGTGGTTTAAGTATTTCAGAATCTATTTCTTTATTAGTTATAGGTTTTTGTTCTGAAGTTTATAATAAATTACCTTTTGAATTTAATTTAGAAATTCCTATGTTATTTTCTTTAAAAATTAAAGATATATTTAAATGAATACATTTAATAAAAATTTATATATTAATAAATATAAAAAATTATTAAAATATTATAAGAATAATATTAAAATTAAATATATTTTATATAGAAAAAATATTTTAATTTTAAAAAAATTAAGATATTTAAATATAATTTAAAATTTTAAAATGAAATTAAATATAATTAAATATTATTATATAAAAAATAAAAAATTGATATTTAATAATATTAATAAAAATTTTATTTTTAAAAAATATATAATTATTAAATTATTTTTTTATGAATATATTAATAATAAATTAAAAATTTTTAATTTTAAAGGAATTTTTATTAATAATAATAGTAATAATAATATTATTTTATTAAAATATAATAATAATGATATATTATTTTTATATTTTTATTTAAATATATTTAATTTAATTACTATTTTAAAATTAGGAAAATTAAATTTAAACAAAATAAAATTTTTAATATGATATATTTATTATATCCTAATTTTCAAAAAAATAATTATATTATTTCTAATTTATATTTAATATTAATATTTGAAATTTTATATAATTTAAAATATTATATAATTATTTTAAATAATTTAAATAATAATGATGTATTTAATATAATTTATTTTAATATTATTACTATAATAACTAATATAAATATAAATTCTATAGATACTATTCAAAATATTAATAATTTATTAAAAATAATTTTAAGTTTAAAATTAAATTTTAAGTATTTAAATAAACAATTAAAATTAAATATAATATTATTTATGTTACCATTAATAATAAATAATAATATTATATTAAATGGATTATTTAAAACTTGTATTCAATTGTTTAAAAAAAATAATAAAATTTTTATTATAAAATATAAAAAAAATAATAAAAATATATTTTATATTTATATATATTTAAATATATATTTAAAAATAATTTTAGAATTTAAAAATAATTTAGAAATATATTTTTATTTTAATAATTTTAAATTTAATTTTATTATTTTATTATTATATTTAAATAATATATTTATAAATAAAAAAATTTTTATATTTATTAAAAATTATTTTATTTTAAAAAAGATAATTATATATAATTATTTAAAATTTATATATAATAATATTAATAGTAAAAAAATTATTTTATTAAAATTATTTATAATAAAAATATATAATATAAATAATAATTATATTTATAATAAAATATTTATAAATATATTTAAAATATTATTTTCTATTAAAATAAATTATACTTATTATATTAATTATATTATTAATAATATTTATAATAAAAAATTTTATTCTATAATAGATATTTTATCTACTCAATGTAAAAATTATTTAATAATTTTACAAAATCAATTATTAAATTTTAAAAATAATTTAAATATAAAATTATTATTAAAAAATAAAAAATATATTAATATTATATTAGAAAAAATAAATATAAATCCTTTAATACAATATTCAGATCAAATAAATAATTTGTCTGAAATAAATCAAAAATTTAAAATAAATATGATTACAACAAGTTTAAATTCAAAATTTATTTTAAATAATGATATAAGAGAATTATCTAGAAATATATTAGGATATATTAGTTTAATAAATACAAATGAAGGGTTAACTTGTGGTTTAGTTAATTATTTAACTACAAATGTTTTTTTAAATTTAAATTTTAAATTTATATTATATTATAAATATTTATTTTATAATAAATATAATTATAAATTAATATTAGATATATTTAATAAAAATTTTTATAATATACAATTTAATAATATATATTTAAAAAAAAATAAAAATTTTAATAAAACAATTATTTTGACTATACATAAAAATACATTTAAAATAAACAATATTATAAAAAATTCTATATATATACCATTTAATTATTTATTATCATTTATAGAAAATTTAATTCCTTTTATACATTATAACGATTCAACTAGAAATTTAATGAGTATAAAAATGCATACTCAAATAGTACCTATATTATACCCTAATTTAAGTAATATAATTACTAATTATAATTATATTATTAATAAATATTTAAATTATTTAATTATTTCATATCAAGAGGGTATAATATTATATGTTTCTAATATAAAAATAATAATTAGAGATATTTTTAATAGAAAAATTATATATTATTTAACTAATTATAAAAAATTTAATCAAAATATTTTATTAATTTATAAACCTATTGTATGGGTAGGTGAAAAAATAAATATTGGTCAAATATTAGCTGTAAATTCTAATTTATTATATAGTGAATATAGTTTAGGTAATAATTTATTAGTAGGTTATGGTTCTTATTTAGGATATGAATATGAAGATGCTGTTATTATAAATAAAAAAATTTTATATAATAATTTATATACTTCATTACATTTTAATATATATGAAATATCTTTAAATATAATTAATAATATTCCTGAAATATGTAGTATTAATTTATCTAAAATGTATTATAAAAATAAAAAATATTTAGATAAATATGGTATTATAAAAGAAGGAACATTTATTTCAATTAATAGTATTTTAGTATCTAAATTAATATTAATACCTTTTATTTTTAATAATAAAAATTTAGTTAATATTATTAATTTTTTATTTGGAAATAAATTAAGAATTTTTAAAAATAAACCTATAATTTCTACAATATATGATATAGGTAGAGTTATTAAAATAGAAATTATTCCATATTTTTTATATAAAAAATTAAAAAATATTAATTCTTATTTAAAAATTAGAATATATATAGGTATACAAAAATATTTACAATTAGGTGATAAAATTTGTAATAGACATGGTCATAAAGGAGTTATTTCTTATATAAATGAAATTAATGATATGCCTTATTTAAATAATAAAATACAACCAGATTTATTTATTAGTTCTATTGGAATTCCATCAAGAATTAATATAGGACAATTATTTGAAGGTATTTATGGATTAAATAGTTTATATACTAATTATAGATATATTATTTCAAATAATTTAAATAAAAATTATTATAATAATTATATGAATATTTTCAATTATTATAAATATAATTATACTAATAATTTTAATATAATTAAGCAATCTTATAATTATAATAAATATTTTTTAAAAAATCCTTTTACAGGTCATTTAATAAATAATAGTATTTGTTTAAATAATATTTATTATTATAAATTAATACACATGATTAAAGATAAATTTAGATATAGATTTATAGGATTATATTCAGAATTAACTCAACAACCTATAAAAGGAAATACTAAACAAGGTGGACAAAGATTTGGTGAAATGGAAGTTTGGGCTTTAGAAGCTTTTGGTTCTTCATTTTTATTTAAAGAATTTTTTACATATAAATCTGATGATATTAAAAGTAGAAAAATGTTAAAAAATTATTTATTTAATAATAATAAAATAAAAACTACATATATATCAGAAACTTTTAAATTAATTTTAAAAGAATTACAAAGTTTAGCTATTAATATAGAAACATTTTGTATATTTAATTCTAATAATATATTAGAAAATATACCTATTAATATAATATATTAAATATGATTATTAATAATAATATTAATTTTATAGGATTAAAATTAAATATTTTAAATCCTAAACAAATAATAAAATGGTCTTCATTATTTTATGATAATAAAGTTATTATAGGAGAAGTATTAATACCTAATACTATAAATTTTAATACAGGATTGCCAATTTTAAATGGATTATTTTGTGAGAAAATATTTGATTATATGTATATATGGAATTGTAATTGTAATAATAAAATGTATAATATAAATAATTTTTCATATTTTTTATATTGTTCATATTGTAAAAATAAATTAAAAATTAATATTAATAGAAAATACAAGTTAGGATTTATATTTTTAAATATACCTATTTTACATTTATGGTATTTAACTGGACCTTTAAAAATAGCTTCTTTATTATTAAATAAAAATATTAATTATTTAAAATTTTTAATTTATTATAAATATTTCTTTAATAATATAAAATATAAACAATATTTTAATTATAATAAATTTTTTTTTAATTTTAATTTTTATAAAAAAAAATATAATAATATAATTCAATATTTATTTTCTCATAATATTTTATATAAAAAATTAAAAAAATTAAATTTATTAACAGAATTATTAAATAATAAAGAATTATTATTAATTAATATAAAAAATAAAAATAATATATATAAAAAAATAAACATATTAAATTTATTAATTATTAATAATATAAAACCTAATTGGATTTTTTTAGATTTATTACCCATATTACCTGCTGGATTAAGACCTTATTTTTTTATAAATAATAATACTTATATAATATCTACTATAAATGAAAATTATAGATTAATAATTTTAAAAAATAATAAATTAAAATATTGGTTATATTTACGTAATAATATTTTTTTTATTTTTGAAATTATAGAAAAACGTTTATTACAACAATTAATTGATTATTTATTAAATAATAAATTAATTTTAAAAAATAATAACACATTTTTTAATTTTAATAAAATATTTCAAGGAAAATATAGTACTATTAAATATAATTTATTAGGTAAAAGAGTAGATTTTTCAGGTAGATCTGTTATTACTGTAAGTCCTAATATAATATATGGTAATATTGGATTACCTTATTATATAAGTATAAATTTATATAAACCTTTTTTAATAAATATTTTAAAATATAATATTAAATTAAATATTATATTTAAAAGTTTATTAATAAATAAAAATTTATTTATAATTCAAAAATTTTTAAATAAATTATTACAAAATCAATCTATTATTGTTAATAGAGCTCCTACATTACATAGAATGAATTTACAATCTTTTAAACCTATTTTAACAGAAGGATATTCAATTAAATTTTATCCTTTAGGATGTTCAAGTTTTAATGCAGATTTTGATGGAGATCAAATGTCAATTTTTTTACCATTAATAAAAACATCAAAATTTGAATCTAATTTAAATTTAAATTTTGATAAAAATATAATTTCACCTTCTAATAATAAAAATTTATTTAAAAATTTACAATATTATAAATTAGGAATTAATACATTATTATTTTTAAATTATAATAAATTATTTAATGTTTTTTATTTTAATTCAATTGAAAAAATTTATGAATATTATAATAATAATGTATTATCATTATTTAATATAATTTGGATAAAATATATAAATAATAATAACATATTTTATATATTAACTACAGTTAATAGAATAATTATAAATTTATATATATATATATATTAATAAATATAATTATATTATGTATTTTTATTTTTTAGATAAATATAATTTAAAAATTTTGGAACAAAAATTATTAATATTATTTAAATATAATATAAGTTCTAAAATATTACATGAATTATTATATTTAGGATTTGAATATTGTTTTATATATAATTATTCTTTAAATATTAAAGATTTTTCAAATTTTATATATTTATTAATATTATATAAAAATAAAATTAATTATATATATAATAATAAATATTATGAAATTAATTATAATTATTTAAATATATTTTTTAATAATTATTATTATTTAAAAATTATTAATAAAATGCAAAACATATTAAATAATAATTTATATAAAAAAATTAATCCTATATATTCTAATTTATATTTATTTTTTAATAATAAAATAAAAATAAAATATTCTCAATTACAACAATTAATTGGTTATAAAGGATATATTTCAAATATAAAAGGAATTATTTATGAAAAACCAGTTATTAATAATTTTATAAATGAATTAAATATATATGAATATATATTATCTTGTTACGGATCTAAAAAAGGAATAATTGATACTGCTTTAAAAACTGCAGATTCAGGGTATTTAACTAAGCGTTTAGTTAATATAACTAATAATTTTATAATAAAAGAATTAAATTGTAAATCTCCTTTTTTATTTAAATATTCATGTAATTTAGATATATATGGTAATATAATTTTACCTATTAATATATTAAAATTTAAAATTTTAAAAAATAATATTGTAAATATAAATACTGGAAATTTTATTAATATAAAAAATATTTATATAACTAAATATATATTAAATAAATTATTAAATTTATCATATAATATTTATATTAATTTATATATAAAATCAATATATTTATGTTCAATATTTAATAATATTTGTAATAATTGTTTAAATTATAAACAATTATATAAATATAATTTAGGTCAACATATAGGAGTTATATCTAGTGAAGCAATAAGTGAACCTAGTACTCAAATGGTATTAAGAACGTTTCATGTAAGTTCTATTTTAAATAAGAATTTAAATTATACTATTTTAAATGAATATTTTATTTATAAATTATATTTTTATAAGTTTAATATAAAAAAAATATTTAAATTAGTATATAATTTTAAAAATTTTAATAACAGTAGAAATAATTTAATATTTTTAATTAACAAATTATTAATTAATAATAATTTTAAAAAATTTTATAATATAAAGTATATATTATTAAATCAATTTATTAAATTAAATTTTATTAAAAATTCTATTTCTAAAGATTTTAAATTTAATTTAAATAATATTATAGTAAAAAATTTTAATAATATATTTAAATATTATAATAATAATATAATTCAATTATTAATTAAAAATTTATATAATAAATGGGTAATATATAATATATATACATATTATTTTTATTATAATTATATTAAATTATATCATATTTTTAAAAAGGGAATTATTTATAATGTAAATAAAAATAAAAAATATAATATAATATTTTTTTTAAAAGGTAATATTAATTTTTTTTCATATTATTATTTTATATATAATAATATTTTTTATTCAAATTTTTTATATAGTAGTTAAAATAAAAATGTATAATAATATAAATAATATATTAAATTTAAATATATTGGAAAAAAATTATTTAAATTATATGTATTATTATAAATATTATAATATAAAATATTATAAATATAATAATAATTTATATTATATATTTTTGGATAAATTTTATAATAATATTATAATTTTAAAAAAAATAAAAAAATTATATTTAATTAATGTAAATAAATTATTATTTTTTATAAAAAAAAAAAAATTTTTATTTTTATATGAAATAATTAAATATAATTGGTATAAATATTTATTATTAAATAATAATTATAATTTATTTATTATTTGTAATAATTATATAAAATATTTATATAAGTATAATATAAAATTAAATTTATATATAATAAAAAATTTATATAATATAAATAATAATTTAATACATAATAATATTATTTATAAAAATAATTATAATATATATAATAATCAAGTTAATTATTATCAATATAAATATTTTAATTTATTTATAAATAATAATTTTTATAATAAGATTTATTATAATTATAATAATAATAATATTTTTAATATATATTTAAGTGATATTACAATAGGATTACAATCAATTAACATAATTTTTGAAAATAAAAATATAATAAATAATATATCTTTTATTTCTAATAATATTTTTGTTATTTTTTATATTAGATATTATAATTATTTAAATAATATAATATATATATATAATATATGTAATAAATATAAAATTAAATATTTTAGTTATAAATTAAATTTTTATTCATATATTTTTGAAGATATAAGCTCTATAATATATAGTGGATATTCATTAAATACTGATTTTTATTGTATAAATAAAAATTTAAAATATTATTTCAATTATTTATTAAAAAATATTAATATTTATCAATCTGCTAAAAGTTCATTTATATATATATATAATATTTTATTAGAATCTATTATAAAACAATATAGTTATCAAAATATTTATTTACCTTCAATTTATTTTGAACTTGTAATTAAAAAAATGTTATCATGTATAAAAATAATATCTAATAATTTTAAAATATTTAAATATAATGATATTATACCATTATATTTAATTAATATAATTAATTATTCTTTAAATTTAAATAATATTTATATTTATAAATATGAACCTATTATTTTAGGAATTACTAAATCTATTTTAGCTAATTCAGGATTTTTAACTAATATAAGTTTTCAAAATACATTTAAAATAATAAATTTAAATATTTTAAATAATAAAATAGATTGGTTAATAGATATAAAATCTAAGATTATAATGACTGATTTATTACCTGTAGGTAATGGATGGTATAGATATTTAACATTATAAAAATGTTTATAAATTAAATAATGTTTATTACTTTTAAAAATTTATTAAAATCTAATATTTATATTGGAAATAATTTTCAAAATATTCATTTTAATAATTATAAATTTATTTATAAAATAAAATATAATAATTGTATATTAAATTTTACTTTAATAGCTTTATATTTATATAAATTATATATATATATTTATAATATATTTTTATTAAATCAAAAAATTTTATTTATAAATAATAATAATAATTTAATGTTAAATTTTATTATTAAAATATGTAATTTAACAAATAATTTTTATATTATTAAATGGATACCTGGATTATTAACTAATTGGAGTATTTTTAAAAAAAAAATTATAATTTATATATGGTTATATAAATTACTTAAAAATAAATATTTAATAAATATAATATCTAAAAAATGTTTAATTAAATTAAATATTATTTATAATAAATTAAATAATAAATTTAAAGGAATTAAATATATGTTAAATATACCAAAATATATTTTTTTAACAAATTTTAATAATGATTTAATTTTAAATGAAATTTTAAAATTAAAATTAATTTTAATTAGTTTTATAAATTTAAGTTTAGATTCAAATATTATTAATATTAAAATTTTGGGAAATTATAATAATTATAAATCTTTAAAATTAATATATCAAATAATTTATACATCTATAATACATAGTAAAATTAAAAATATGTAAAAATATTTTTAATTAAATATATATTATGATAATTTATTTTATAATATAATAATATATACCAAAAATTTATTATTTTAATTAGTAATAAATTATATTTATTAGATATTATATATAATAATTTAATATTTTTATAATTATAATTAATTTTATTATATATATAATTATTTGAATTTTTACTTTTAAATATAATATTTAAATATTTAATATATATTTTTTTATTTATATTATATTTTATTATATTTATATTTTTAAATTTTTTTAATAATAAATTTTTTTTTAATTTTGAATATAAATTAAATATCATTTTTTATTAAATAATATTTTATATTAAAAAGAGAAAATGGGATTTGAACCCATGAAATATTTAAATATTTTTTTGATCTCAAATCAAATACAATAAACCACTCTGTCATTTCTCTTATATTATTTTTTATTTTATATAATAAAATTTTTAATAAATTTTTATTTAAAATATAATTATATTTTAAATATTTTAATAATTTATAATACATACAAGAAATAATATTTAATTTAGGATTATAAATACCTAATTTAATAATTTTATAATTTTCTATTAATATAATTTTATATGTTTTATATTTTGTTTTATTTGATTTTGAATATAGAAAAATATTATTAATCATAATTATAATTATTTATTTATATTAAATACAAATAATGGAAATTGAATCCATATCATTAATTTGGAAAATTAATATTTTACCTATTAAACTATATTTGTTAAAAATTTATAATAAATAAATGTCATAATTTAAATTATAATATTTATTTAAATAATAATATAAAATATATTTATTCTTTGAAAAATAAGTTTTATTATAAATTAATATTAAATCACTTATAGATTTATCAAATATTAATTCTAAAATTCTTTTTAAAGGACGAGCACCATATAAAGGATTATATGATAATTTTGTTATAATATATTTAATATTATTATTTATATGTACTAAAATATTTAATTTATTTAAATATAATTTTATTTGCAATTCTTTAATAAATTTATCAAATATTAATAATAAATTATTTATATTTAAAGGGTTAAATATTAATATATTTGTTAATCTATTTAATAATTCAGGTTTAAAAAATTTATTAATACTTAATTTAATATTTTTTTCAATTTCTTTTAAATCTAATTCTGATAAATAATTTTTATTTTTAAAATAAATATCATAATTTTTAGGACATCCTAAATTACTAGTTAATAAAATAATTGTATTAGTAAAATCTATTAATTTACCTGTAGTATCTGTTAATCTTCCTTCATCTAATATTTGTAACATTATATTATATATATCAGGATGAGCTTTTTCTATTTCATCAAATAAAATTATTGAATTAGGTTTTTTAAAAACTTGTTCTGTTAATTGTCCTCCTTCTGAATAACCTATATAACCTGGAGGTGAACCAATTAATCTTGAAATTGAATGTTTTTCCATATATTCACTCATATCAAATCTTATTAATTCTTTTTCTGAACCAAATAATTGTTTAGCTAATATTTTAGCAAGTTCTGTTTTACCTGTACCACTAGGTCCACATAAAATCCAACTACCAATAGGTTTATTTTTTGTTTTTAATCCTATTAAATTTTGTTTAATTGAAGGTAATATTTTATTAAATATATGATTTTGACCATATATATTTTTATGTAAATGAATTTTTAATTGATTAAAATTATAATTAGTTATTTTATTATTTTTAAATAATATAGTTTTTGATATATTTAAATAATCTGATATTGAATTTTTAATATCTTCAATAGATAATTTATTATTATTTATATTATTAATTGTAGAATTATTAGTAAATAAATAATTAAAATTTAGATTATTAAATTTATTATTTATTAAATATTTTTTTGAACATAAATTTTCTAATAATATTAAAGGTGTTATAGGCAAAATAGTATTTTTTATATATATTTTACTTAAATTTATTAATTTATATATTATATAATTATTAATATTTATATTATATTTATATATATATTCATTAATATTATTTTTAATTATTATAAAAGTTTGTAATATTGATAATTCTTTAATTTTTATTTTATAAAATAAATTATCTAAAATTAAATTATATTTAAAATATAAATTATATTTATTTTTATTAATTATAATTATAATATGAATATTATAATTATTTATTTTATTTAATAATAAATTTAAATAATATAATTTATCATTATTATTATTTATATCATCATTATAAAATAATTCTATATTTTTTATGATTAAAATTAATTTATATTTACTATTAAAAAAATATTTAGATAAATTCAATATTTTTAATATTAAATATTGAATATCATAATTAAATATATCATTTAATACCCATATTTCAGTATTTTGTAAATAAACAGGAATAATTTTATTTTGTATATTAATATTTAATATTTGTAAAAATGATAATATATTTTCTTCTATACCTATTATTATAATATGTTTTTTTATTTTTACATTTAATATTTGTAATAATTTTAAATATTGTTTTTTATAAAAATTTAAATTAAATATATATTTTATATTTAAATTATTATAAGCTATTTCATTTAATTTGTATTTTATAATATTAGGAAATATATTTTTATTTATGAAATTATAATTTAAATTTTTAAAATTTATATTTAAATATTTAAATAAGTAATTTATATCATTATTGTTTTCATCTAATAATAATAATAATAAATTAAAAGAATTTATTTTAAAATTAAATTTATTTAATTTTATTATTATATTAATTGTATTATTAGAAAATATTATATTAGTAATATTTTTATTTGTATATTTATATTTATTTAATAAAGATTTAATTAATTTTTCATTTATTAAATTTATATTTATATTTAATAATTTAGTACATATATTATTTGTTAATAATAAACTTAACATTAAATGAATAGGCATTATAAAATAATTATTATATTTTAATGCTAAATATTCTGCTTTAATAAAAATTATTATTAATTCTTTAGTATTATAAATTTTATTTAAAATCATGAGTTTTTTTATATGTAATTTTTTATATTATTATATATTATATTTAATAATTGATATATATTATAAAATAATAATTGATTTTTTTTATATAATAATATTTTATATATTAATATAATTTTATTTATAATTTTTAAAAATTTTTTATATAAATTAAATATTGTATAATTATATATAATTTTAAATGTTTTATTTGAATATATATATATTATAAATATATTTATATTATAATTATTTAAATATTCTGTAATTAATTTATTTAAAAAATTTATATTTATATTATATAATTTAAATTTTAAATTTAAAATAGGATTTAAATTTGTCTTTATATTTTTTATTAAAAATTTACATTTATATATAATAGCCATCTTTATAATTTTCTATAATATTTAATATTATATACATGTCTTAAAGGATTTGAACCTTTATTTATAAATTTTGGAGATTTATATTTTAACATTAAATTAAAGACATAATTTGAATTATTTATATGAATAAAGAGAATTAAACTCTTATAACAATTTTGGTAAAATTGTATTTTATCATTAAATTATATTCATATAATTTTATTTAGAATAATAGGATTTGAACCTATATTAATGAAATCAAAATTCATTACCTTAACCATTTGGTTATATTCTATTATTATAAAATAATAAGTCATTATAGCTCAATGGTAGAGCAATGGATTGAAGATCCATGTGTTATCAGTTCAAATCTGATTTTTGACATAAATTTAATAATAAAATTATAAATAAAAAATTTATTAAATATTTATATTTATTGTATATTATTTTATTATATATATTTTTTTTATTTATTAATAAAAATATTAAAATAATTATATATATCCAAATAAATAAACGATAATAAAATATATTAAAATGTTTTATAATTCTAAATATTTTTTTTATTAAAATTTTATTTAATAAATTATTATTATATTTTATCATTATATATTTTATTATTAATTAATAATATTTGTTATAATACCTGCACCTATAGTTTTACCTCCTTCTCTAATAGAAAATTTCATATTTAAAGTTAATACTATATAATGTTTTAATTCAATATATAATGTTAATTTATCTCCAGGTATAGCAATTTTTTGATTAATATTATTAGAATATATATTTTTTATTTCTCCTGTAACATCTACTGTACGAATAAAAAATTGAGGTTTATATCCAATTCCAAAAGGTTTATGACGTCCTCCTTCTTCTTGTGTTAAAATATAAGTTTCAGATATAAAAAATTTTGATACTTTTAATTTATTAGGTTTTGATAAAATCATACCTCTTTTTATTTCTTTTTTTTGAATATTTCTTAATAAAATACCTACATTATCTCCAGATTGAGCTTGATTTAATTGTTTTTTGAACATTTCTAAACCTATAACTGTAGTTATAATAGAAGATTTTTCAAATTTTAAAATTTCAATTTCTTCATTTAAATTAATACATCCTTGTTCAATTTTACCTGTAACAACAGTACCTCTTCCTGTAATTGAAAATATATCTTCTATAGGCATTAAAAAATCATCATTAATTTTTCTAGTAGATATTTTAATATTATCTATTTCATTAATTAAATTAATTAATTTTTGTATCCATATATTAGATTTTATTAATTCATAATTTTTATTTTTTTGTATAATATTTATTACATTTAATGCAGATCCAGTTAATATTTTAATATAATTTAAATCAAAATTATATTTAATTAATAATTCATTAATTTCTAATTTTATAAAATCAATTAATTCTATATCATCACATAAATCTTCTTTATTTAAAAAAATAATAATATCTTTAATTCCTATTTGTTTTATCAATAATAAATGTTCATATGTTTGAGGCATTATACCATCTATTATAGAAATTACTAAAATAGCAATATCCATTTGTGTAGCTCCTATTATCATATTTTTAATATAATCAGCATGTCCTGGACAATCTATATGAGCACAATGTTTTGTAAAAGTTTCATATTCTATATGTGTTGTATTAATTGTAATTCCTCTTATTTTTTCTTCAGGAGCAGAATCTATATCAGAATAATTATATTTTTTTGATAACCCTTGTATATTTAATAAATAAGATATTGCAGTAGTTAATGTTGTTTTTCCATGATCTACATGACCTATAGTACCTAAATTTATATGTTGTTTATTTCTTAAAAATAATTTATTATTCATATGTATTTTTTATTAATAATATATATAAAATAAATAATAATATAATCCTTTTTAAATAATTTTAGATTTATTTAATAAATATATATATACTCTATTAGATATAAATTGTTTTATTAAATTTAATTTCATTTTATATAAATCACCTTCTTTATTATAACTTAAAATTATATATTTACAAATAATTTTATATAACATAATATTTTTATTCTTTATAATTTTAATAAATAATTTATATACATTAAATATAGATTGTTCATATGATATTATAATAGGTATATAATATTTAATAGTATTTATTTTTATTTTTAAAAAAGAAAATGGTAATAATAAATTTTTTATAGCTTTATTAAAAATAAATATACCAGATTTTTTAGTTATTTTTTTTAATAAATATAATATATATATTAATAATTTAATACTTTTATTTATATTTCCTTTTTTTAAATATATTTTTACAAAATATTTAAATATAATCATAATATAATTTATATTTTTTTTGTACCATATTTAGATCTTGAAGTTTTTCTATTTATAACCCCTATAGAATCTAAAGAACCTCTAATTATTTTATATTTAATACCTGGTAAATCTTTAACTCTACCTCCTTTAATTAATACAAAATTATGTTCTTGTATTGATTTTCCTTCACCCGGAATATAAGCTAATAATTCCTTATTATTTGATAATTTTATTTTTGCTACTTTTCTTAATGCAGAATTAGGTTTTTTAGGAGTTTTAATTAATATTTTTAATACTATACCTTTTTTTTGTGGACATTTATTTAATAAATAATTATTATTTTTTTTTTTATTCTTAAAATTTAATTTTTTTTTATTATATAATAATTTATTAATTGAAATCATTTTATTTTTAATTTAATATTTTTTTTTAGAAAATTTACATCCATTATAAGGGATAGAAGTTATATCAAATAATTTATAAATATTTAATTTTTTATTTTTATATTTTGTATTTAATAATAATTTTAATATATGTATTCTATAAAAATTAATTCCATTAAAAATTAAATTAATATTTAATAAATTTTTATTAATTAAATATTTTATTATATTTATAATTAAAATATTATTTGCTAATATAGTATTTTTCAATCTATTTTTAAATTGTTTAAAATGACCACAAGATATATTTTTTAAATTTTTAATATAAATATATGTATTTTTATATTTTTTATATTTAGAAATAGTTACTAATGTATTTTTTAATTTTAATTTAAAATATATAAATATTATATAATTATTATTTAAAATTATCATTGAGTTTGTTTATGTTTTTTATTTATACAAATAATATGTAATTTTTTAAAACGTTTAATTAATTTACACTTATTACATATTTTTTTTATAGAAGAACGTTTTTTCATTTTTTTATATTAAATTTTTTTATTTTATTAATAATTATATTATTTTTTTTTATTTTTAAAATTTTATGTAAATATATATTTAATCTATATAAACTTAATTTAATTTTTATTTTATTATTATAAATATTAAAAATATTTACATTATTTACACTTAATAATAAATTAATTTTATATAAATTTAATCCATATATATATTTTAATATATATATATATAAATTTTTATTTAATAAATATAATATCATATTTTTTTAAAAATTATTAAATAATACTAATAATAATTTATTTAATAAATTATATTTATTATTTATAATATTATAATATATAATAACTTTACAATTTAAATACCCTAAACATTCAAATAAATATTTAAATAATAAAAATTTTATATTTAAATCATTATAAATATTAAATTTTAACTTAATAAATAATTTATTAGAATTAAAATATATACATTTTAACTTATATACATTTAATAAAGAATATTTAAAATAATATATATTATTTAAACCATTAATTTTAGCTAATAAAATAGCTTTATTTATATTATAACTCTTACCTATTCCTATACCAATCCACCCACGTTTATTACCTATTAATAATAAAACTTTATATCTTTTAATTCTTCCTTTTTTTATAGTATATGAAACTTTTTTTATTTCAATAATTTTTTCTATAATATTATTATATATAATTTTATAATTATTCTTAATAACAATATTATTATATTTATAAATATAAAAATAAATATAATTATAATTATTATAATAAATAATATTATTATTATATAATTTATTTATAATATAATATAATTTTAAATATAAAATTATTATATAATATATTTTATATATATACTTTACATCATATTTAAATTTATTACTAAATAAAATAAATAAACTTCTTAATAAAATTAAAACATAATATAATATATAAAAATTATTTAATTTAATATTATTAATATTCATAATAAATATTCTTTTTTATTTTATTACTCTAATACCTAATTCTTTATATTTATTTATATATTGAAATGAATTTATTAATTTACCTAAAGAATTTAATATTAATAAATTATTACTATATAAATATATAATATTTTTAAATAAATTTAATTTATAAAATATTACATTAGGTAATTTTATAATTATTTTATGACTATATTTTAATTGAAATATTAATAAATTATAATTTTTAATACAATAAAATTTATAATTAATTCCTATAATATTTAATATCAATTTATATAAATTATTATTAATATTTAAAAATATATGTTCATACATTTTATATAATATGAAGTATATTTTATTAATATTATTAAAATATATATATATATTATTTATAATATATATATATTTTATTATTTCACTATTTTTATTATTAACTATAATATATATATAATCAAAATTTTTAAAATCAAAAATTAAATATATATTATTATTATAAATATAATTTAAAAAAATATATTTATTATTAAACATTATTATTTAAAAAATACAAAATATTAAAATACCCCCACTTTTATACTTTAAAGATAATAAATGTGTAATAAATTTATATTTAAAAGAATATAAAATTAATAATCCTTTAAAATATCTATAAAATTTTATAAAATTTATTAATTTGTTATAATTAATATAAAATATTTGATTATATTTTATATATATTTTAAAATAATTTATCTTTTTATTTTTATTTAAAATAATAAAAATAAAATATTTACTATCAATTTTAAAAATATAAAATTTTAATACATAATTATAATTATATAACAAAATTATAATACTATATATAATTTTACTAAATTTATAAAAAATAAATTTTTTTTTTAATTTTAAATTATATTTAAATTGATTTAAAAACTTTACAATCATTACTTAAATATATTTTATTTTTAATTTTTTTATATTAATATTTTTATTATATTTTATATATTTCAATATATAATTATTACTTTTAGTACCTACTGAAATTAAATTATTATTTAAAATTATAACAGCATTTTTATTAAATTTTATAGAATAATATATTTTTAAATTTAAAAATAATTTTTGTTGAACTAAAATACCTTTACATTTATCTGATTTTTTATATAAATTATTATTATATAATTTATACACAACACCTATAATTATATCTCCATATTTAGGTTTTTTACATTTATTTAACACATTAATATATTTAAATTTAAAAATTCCACTATTATCTATTACATCTAATAAACTATTTAAATATATCATAATATTTTAACTACTTTAAAATTACAATATTTACTTTTTTTATAATATTTAAATAATATATAATCATTTTTAACAATTTCATTTCTATTATCATAAACTGTAATAAATTTATTTATTAATTTTAATTTTTTATATTTAATATTATATCTATAAAAAGAAATACAAATCAATTTAATATTTTTATTTAAAATTTTTAATACATACCCTATTTTTATATTCATAAAATTTTATAAATTTTTTTTTATAAATTGTAATTTAAAAGGCAATTTATATGATAATATTTTAGTTATCATAAAAATTTCTTTTAATGAAATTTTACTTATTTCAAATAATAACTTATATTTTTTTACAATACCAACATATAACTCTATAGATCCCTTACCAGCACCCATTCTAGTTTTTAAAGATTTTTTAGTCAATGATTTATTACACTTTATACATATATTATATTTACCTATTTTTTTTATAAATTTATTTATTATAAATTTAGAAGTATCTAATTGATTTTTAGTAATAAAACCAGAATTTAAAGAAATTATACCCCAATATAAATTTAAAAATTTTAAATTAAAAATACCTTTTATTTTTCCTTTTTGAATTTTATTATTAAATAATATATTCATAATAATTTATATTTTAATTATTTAACCATATTTTTATACTTAAAATACCTTGTTTAGTATTTATAATATTATTTAAATATTTAATATTATTATTTAAAATATTTAAAGATATTATTCCATAAATGTAAATTTCTGTTTTAGTTTTTAAATTATTTTTAAACCTACCTGAAACTTTTATTTTTAACCCTTTAATATTATTATTATATTTTAAAAAATTATTATATATAAAATCAAATATTAATTTTAAAGATTTATATTTAATATAATATTTTTTTACATAAAACATTATTACATTAATATTATTATAATAATTATTAATATATTTAATTTTTAAATAACATATAAAATTATAAATATTATAATAATAATAATTAAAATAATTAAATAATATAAAAATATATTTTAAATTTATATAATTAAATAACAAAAATATTACTATAAATTTATTAATATAAAAATATATATTAATATTAATATAATAATTATATTTATAATCAAATACTCTATATAAATTATAATATAAAAAATATATTAATAATATATTAATTAAATAATATTTATTTTTATTAATATTAATATAAAAATTATTCAAATAATTTTTATAAATATTACTTCTAAATATCAAAGGATGAACTTTTTGTCCCATATTAATCTAAAATTAATTCTTTAATATTATTTTTTATAAATTTAGTATAAATAAAATTACCTATTTTTTTATATAACTTATATTTATTTATATAAATAGGTATAAATTTACATCCATTATATACTTTTAAATATATATTTAATAATTTTTTATAAATATATATATTTTTATTATATATTTTTAAAATAATATTTTTATTATTATTTTTATTTAAATTTTTAAATATATATTTATTATTTAATGATATTTTTAACCAATATAATTTAATCATATTTATTATTTTTTAGTTTTATATCCTTTTGAATGTAATCCTTTCTTAGAACAAGGATATTTACGTCCTATACTTGTTTTACCTTTTCCTCCTCCATGAGGATGATCACATACATTCATAGCTTTACCTCTAACATGTGACTTTTTATTATAATAAATATTATATCCAGCATTTTTTATTTTATATTTATTATAAAAAATATTACTATTAATTCCAATATAACAAAAACATGTATTAAGTATATATTTATATTGTTTAGAAGGTAGTTTAATATATACAAAATTTTTATAAAAAGTTAATATTTGAGCAAAAGTACCAGCAGATCTAGCAAAAATACCACCTTTATTATTTATAGAAATATTATATATATAAGTACCCAATTTACAATATTTTAATTGCAAATAACTTCCTTGTTTTATATTATTTATATTTGTTATATAATATATCGAATTTAATATATAATTATATTGTAAAATAATATATTTTTGTAAATGATTTAACATTAATGATAAATATAAAATACATCCTATATAATTATTTCTAAAATAATTCTTTAATTTTTTAAATAAAATTATTTTATAATTAAATTTAATATTATAATTATCATACCAAAAATCTATTAATTTATAATTATATTTTAATTTACCCCCTCCTTTATTTTTTATAGTTATATATCCTTTATTATTTTTTCCAAAATTTTTTAAATATTTATAAATATTATATTTTTTTAATTTTAAAATCATTTTTATCTAAAAGAAATATAATATTTTTTAAAAACTTTATTATTATTAATATTATTTATTTTTATAAATTTTTTATTAAATATATATTTTAAAATATATTTAATATCTAATTTTGTTAAATATTTATTTGTATAAATTATTATAAATTTATTAATAAAATTTACTTTATAAAATATATTATTTAAATATAAATTTAAAATAATTTCTTTCATAACATAATTATAATATAATTATATTTTATTAAATTTAATATAATATTACTATTAAAATTTAAAATTTGATTTAAATATATTATTAAATATCTATTTAAAATACCATTAAAATATATAATTTTATTAATTAAAAAATTTAAATTAAATACATTATTACTATAATAATTATACATATAATTTAAAAATTTTATCAAATCTTCTAATTTAATTATAATTATATTACTACGTTTATTTAATAATAAATATAAAAAAACTAATTTATATTTTAAATTATTATATTTAATAATTTTTTTAGTATAAAAAGGTCCAAAATTACAAGAACCTTGTTTACATATAGGTGATTTAAAATTTCTTAATCTAGATTTACCTAATCCTTTTTGAATTCTAATTTTTTTATTACTAAAATTTATTAAACTTTTATTTTTTGTATGTTTATATCTATTTTTATCATACAAAAAATAATATTTTAATATATAAACTAATAATTTACATGTTTTAATATAATTATTTAAATATAATTTTATAAAAAAATTATATTTATATTTAAAAATTATATTAAATATATTATTATTTATATTTAACATAATTATATTCATTTTTAATATTTATAAATACTATATTTAATAATTTTATTTCAGAAAAAAAGGATTTGAACCTATATTCTTCTATTTCCAAAATAGATATGTTACCATTACACTATATTCTGAATATAAAATTTATATATACTTTTAAGGAAAATCGAATTCCTATTTTCTTCTTGAAAAAAAGATGTCTTACCATTAAACGATAAAAGTATTTATGAATTACCTGAGATTTGAACTCAGAACCATTCGATTAAAAGTCGAGTACTCTACCAATTAAGCTAGTAATTCTAAAATAAACGAATTTAACGAGACTTGAACTCGTATTCTTTATTATGACAAAATAATATTTTTACCATTTAAACTATAAATTCTACTTAGAGAAAAAGGGATTCGAACCCTTGATATATAATTATTATATATAATAAATTAGCAATTTATAACTATAAACCACTCAGTCATTTCTCTATTATAATTAATATAAGTTAAATCAGATTTGAACTGATGTAGATATATAATCAATGGATTTACAGTCCATTCCTTTTAACCACTCAGGCATTAACTTTAATTTTTTAATTAAAATTATTTATGCATTTAAGTAGATTCGAACTACTGACGATCAATATATGAAAATGAATTATGAGTCCATTGCTTTCGACCTCTTAGCTATAAATGCTTTAATTTTAGAGATAAAGGGATTTGAACCCTTATAACTAAAAAAGTTAATGGATTTTCTTATTTAAATTTAGACTTTTTCTATATTTATATAAATATTATTAAGTCGTTTGAATATATTTTTTATATATTACAGAATTTATATGTATTTTATTTAATATTTTCTTATATAATATTATTATAATTAAATTTTATTAACTCATTATTATATATTAATAAAAAATATATATAAAGTCCATTGTGTATACCAAATTTCACCATATCTCTAAAATGATATTCAGATTTGAACTGAAATACAATAATTTGCAATTATTAACTTTACCTAATTAAGTTATATCATTAAATAATAAGATAAATAATGAGATTTGAACTCATATTTAAGAAACCACAATTCTTAACCTTAACCATTAGGTTATATTTATCATTAAAATTTTTAAATATAAAAAAAATTATTATATATATATAATATGTTATTTAATAAAATATTATTAACTATTTTAATTTTTAAATTATATATACATAATATAAAATTTTCATTATAACTATAAATTTTTATAAAATTATATTTATATAATTTAAATATATATAAATATATATTATATTTATAAATTAAATTTTTCAATATAATATATTTAATCTTACTATTAAAAAATATAATATCATTATTTTTTATATTTATATTATAATATTTAATATTAATATTATTTATATATATATTTTGAGATTTTATATAATATCTTGACTGTAATATTGTTTTAAAACATCCTATATTTACTAAAAATACATCTAATCTAGATTCTAATATATTTAATAATTTAAAATATATAACATATTTATAATTTTTTCTTATTTTGTTTATATAATATAAATATTGTTTATATGTTATACAATAATTATAACATATATATCTAATAAATTTTAATTTTAAATTATAATAAGTTTTATTATATAATATTTTATTATTATATAATTTATAATTATATTTACTTGAAAAATATAACAAAAAAGGTATATTTAATTTTTTTAATACTTTTATTTTAGAAATTAAAAATTTTATCATAATAATTATATACAATAAATAATACAAGCTAATGGTGAGATTTGAACTCATAATCTACTGATTACAAATCAGTTGCTTTACCAATTAAGCTACTTTAGCAAATAAATAAACCATAATTAAATATTCAACTTATTAGGGATTATATACTAAATATATTACTATAAATACATATTAATCCTATA